CTCGGAACGGATGTACTGCAACAATCAACTCTCGAACGTGACTTAGGTGTCCTGGTTCAAGATGACTTGGGTTGTTCCAGGCAATCTGAAAAGGCCTCGAAGACCGGGAATCAACACGTCGGGCTGTTGAGGCGGGCGTTTGGACAAATAAACAGCTCCATATTTCGACAAACGCTCAGTGCGTATGTTCGCCCCCATGTCGAATACGCAATTCAAGCCTGGCATCCATGGCTGAAACACGACCTTAATGCATTGGAGCAGCCTCAACGCCGCGCATCTAAGAACGTAACTGGAATGCGCAATCTGTCCTACCAGGAGAGGCTGCGACGACTAGGATTGTTCAGTGGAAGCTGTGGCAGGCTACGAGGCGACCTGATTATGACATACTTGATTCTGCGAAACCCACATCATGTGTGCCGCCCTTTACTGCAACTCAGCAGCAATACAAACCTGAGGGGCCACTCATTAAAACTCGCAGAACAATACAGTCGTCTGGAGTGCCGCAGAAATTTCTTTTCCATCCGTGTCTGTCACCCGTGGAATGCTCTCCCAGAATCGGTCGTCTCTGCACCGACACTAACAATATTTAAAAGACGGTTGGACGATGCACTCATCCATTTACACTTTGTTACTTAACACTATGTCTCCATCCTACACCTGGAGTTTACCCTGGAATTATTTGTTGTTAACTGTGTGGTGTTGTGAATCTAAGTGGATCGCAGGACTGCAGCGAAGCAAACGATAAGTCCTTATTTTCGTATTTAAAGTGTTAACTATTTTACTATCCTTTTCATCATAATTATTATGTTGATATCCCCACCAACTATCCAACGGGGCTTGTAAAGCAACGCTTCTTAACCCGTATAAATTCATTGTTCATTGTTCATTTGACTGCGGATATCCGAGTATGAAATCAGTCGACAACCTGGTCTGCCAGTTGTATATTAGTGCACAAACAAATTTCTGACAGTGTTCCAGGAGGTGGTGGGTTGTCGTCTTGCAAGCTTTCTCCATATAAAAAGCCACAAATGTCCGTGTAACAACACTGCGACGTGGCGGATGTGACTCGCCACTAAATAAAGTCATTGCCCAGAACTACGTACTGGCAAGTCGACCAGAATCATAATTTGCTTTTGCCCTGTCACTTTCAATAATAAGTTACACCATGCGTATATGTATCGTTTTCATTACACATGTTGTGCCCTGACTGTTTACACTACCCACGCTAGAACCCAACGTTTCGGCATTCAATGAAGACTCTATCCCTAATGATTACTTGCACAATTTCCGCAGCCTGTACAACCTTCGGCTTACTGCCGACTACACCCACAGCAATGCGTTTGTTGCGAAGCAATATTGCATGAAATGTTGATATTGCCTTGCTTGGTGTGTCTCGACAAATTCGAGAATAAACTATTTATTCATTTATTTATTTATAACTCAACGTCGCAGCCAGATATTTTAATGATGTGGAATAAATAAATAAATAAATAAATAGGCATATTGCTAAACTGTCTAGTGGCTTTACTCATAACTGGGTCAGATCGATCCTTGCATTAACCCTATGCTATTGCATGGGGGTAGGTAAAATGTGCGTATATGTTCCTCGTTGGCCATTACGAATGCATTGGCATTGTTTGGTGTATAGCTGATGGAGTCGTGGGCACCCACCTTGAAATTCTTCTCATTCCTTCAGGTGATATTGAGCTCCTTGATTTCCTATGTTGTGATAGTTGGTGAGAACCGTAGTTGTGTATGTTTTCTTCGGAACAGGGTCCAGTCACCCCTAACTTCAATTTAAGTTCTTTGGACTATTTAGCCCGCCCAGTCGCCACATGTATTGGTGCGCACTTGGAGGAAATAAGAGCGGCGGAATGATAAGCAATATGAAAAGTTTAAAATAATTACGAGCAATGCAGGGTAAAATAAAACGGGTTTGCTCCGAGATATGCTAAGGTGGCTTACTTCACAAGAAAAATACAAATTACCGAAAGAAAACAGTAATCCGTCGCCATCAATATGTAACTTGTTACTTAGTGTAAGGAGATCCTGGAGCATGGCTTCTTTGTGTAAGGAAAAACGAATGTCATGACACTTTGAAGCACTTAGAGACAAATCACGGGATTTGGACCGCAATTAGAAGCTTTCATAAGGCCGTGTAGTTTGGGTGAACGATAGGCGCTTTGGTGATTGATGGCCAGAACGACGTCGTCCGCATATTTTGCAAGTGTCGCTTCAGTTGGAGCTGGCATAGAGATAACATAAGTAGAAAAGCGAAAAAACGAGAAACTGGCTCACTGAAGGACACCAGCGTTGGTGAGTAGTGGGGAGGAACATCTACCACGGTGTCTAGTGAGGTGACTGCGTTCACAAACATATCACTCAGTAGATGGACGATGGAAGAATGTGCTCCTTGCGTAAGTAGGTCTCCCAGCATTAGTTTGCGGTTTACGCAGCCAAATGTATGGCTGTCTTCAAGAAAATGCATGCCATTTGCTTTATTTCTATTGTTTAAACAGCAGAATTGCTTTACTCCTATTGGCAACCGATGACAGTATAGACTGTAGGAGCTAGGCCACAGCATGTAGGATCGACCTCAAACTAAAATAGGCAAACTGTAGATGGTGCTTGGATTGCGTTCTGAAAGGTATCACTTCGAGCATGACTTTCGCCAGAACCTACAAAGCAACGGAATTGCTCCCGATAGGTTGATATTTATTGGCTCCTTATTTCGGCACTGGGGAAATGTTAACAATTCTCTTGCAGCCAGCAATTTGCGTTGCTGCATACACATGGTGTAGGTACTGGCAATAGGTATTGCCAAACAATCGGCACAGTTAAGAGTAAGATAGGAGATATCACGTCTAGCCCACTATTTTACCGGAACGTTGATGTTTCAGTAGCGTATTGCCAGTCGCATTGTCAACGGGCGGAAGTGGTTCAGCAGACCCCTGAAATTGAGCATAGGAAGACTCCGGAGCTGTAGTAGTATTACAGTTGCAGAACACCCGGTTTAAATTCCTATGCCTACCTCAAACTAGGATGTACGTTGAGAAATCTGATAAGTGCTTTTATTATCCCCCAGAGCTCACGACAACTGCCGTTCCCAAGAACAGGCTGGACCTGCACGTTGTTAAGGCAAGTTAGCTCCTCCTTGATACAATCAGCGAGAGGTCTTATTGAGGTGCCAAACTTTTCTTTAAAATTGTTCTCCTAAAGTCCGCTTAGGCGCTTCAAGTGAAGGGCGGCAAACCTATCAGCGCGGACGCAAATATTGTCCAAAGGGCAACAAATCTCAACCTAGAAGTTTAGATAGCTTATCAACTCATCACAACACATAGATGTATCAACGTTAACGAACAAAATAAAGTTCGGCGATACGAGCATTTCGGAAAACCTGTCGAGATTTGGTGGTGAGTACTGCCTCCAACTGACCCTCCGATCGTTGCAACAAGTGTTTTGTTGGTGGCTGTTCTTACTCTAGAAGACAAAGAAAATCAGATGGTTGAGTGATCATACTTGCCGATTGTAGTCAACCTAAATATGGAGAACCCATTCGCATTATTAACAAACACCGTGTCCAAGGTTGCGTTCAACCTTGCGGGTAGAGTGAGGGTGGTTCGCACCCTGACAGCCGTGAGGGAAGTAGTGCCACGTCTTTTCAAATCTCAGACGAAGCTGCACAGAGAGGGGTTGCTGTGTTATGCGACAGGTGCAATAAATTCATCAACGAAATTCTCAGCTTCGGGATTGGGACGGGTGGAAGATATGTAGATGTTAGCCAACAATACGGAGCAGTAGCCAGTCGAAGGCTTTGGCTTACATCGTTTGACTAGCCAATTGCCAAACGGTGAGGAGAAGCAAAAACACGTTACGTTGCAAAACATTAAGCCGGATTTGTATAAATAAGTTCTTCTCCACCTCAGTTACGGAAATTACATGGGCCGTCAACCCAATGGCAAATAAATGCTCCAACGGATAGGACTGAAGCACTCACATCTTCATGGAGCCAGGTTACTTTCAACAAATTTATTCCAAGCAAGGAAAACGCACGAGTATGCAATATTTGTTCGTTTACTTTCCCCATCCGCGAGCGTATGTTGATGCAAAGCAATGTAGGGACGATCAGCGAGCTCATTTTTTATATTAGAAGGGAACTATCCATACAGAAGGTTATTTTCTAACAGATTTGTTACACTACTTATGAATTCGTTTCAAGTTGTTTCTGAAAACGCAATCTTCCAAAACTACGCTAGTTAGGATCACGGGAAAATGACATGCTTTAAAAACATCGTGTGAGTAGAGTCGCACGGCAAACGTGTGTTTGATAAAAACAAGAACCGCTAGAGCAAAAGGTAAGGAGTGAGAACGTACGTTGATAAAACACAAGGAAATATCGTAAAGCACGGCTAACTTTGAAGCCTGTTTGAACAGGCAGCCTTTTGTTAACCCTCTACAGTCAAATATGATTTTACTTGTCAAAATGTGTTTTGATAACGGTAACAAATGCCATTAAATAACGTTTAAATATATAAATATTAATAAAAATTTTATGAACGTATTTGAGGGTGTTAGCATTTGTCGAAGGTAGTCCGTACATAACGGACTGGCGGTGAACATGTTCTGGTGGGCGTCTTCAGGTTCAGCCAGGCGTATAATGACAAATATAAATCATGGACGATTAGTAATGAAATAGACAAATAAAAGTAACGCTAAAAAACGCGCTGCCGAAACCATAAGCGCACAAATAGTTTTATACATATAAGCTAAACGATGCTTGAAGGAATATTGTAATAAAGATTCATGACTATGTACATGCGCATGTTTAAAGTAGATATATATATATTTTTGTGGAATGTAATGAAAATGAATGTAATAAAAATCTATAACTAAATTTAGTATATATCCAGATACGGACATTTATCACCTATTTTATTTTTCATCACTTAATGGCTCCATAGCATCTGATCATAGCTGCTGTACCAAACCTCACAGGATATATTCGATCTAATTAAAGTCCCAGTTACGTACTTCGTTTGTCCGGTTGTCGAAGCCATGCATTTGTGTGAAGCGTTGGCATACGTTGAGCTGTATTTATTATTGACTGGTGCGTTACAATTTAAACTTCTATTTTTAGGCTACATTGCACCTAGCAAATGTGACGACTATTCTTGTGAGAACACCATATGCAATCCACGCGCCGGTGACTTACTTATTGGACGAGAGAGTTCACTATGGGCATCATCTACTTGTGGACTAAAAGGAGTGGAAGCATATTGCGTCGTTACAACTAGCGAAAAGAGTTTCTGCAAGGAGTGTATTTCAAGTCAACCGTACAATGCCTTGACAAACCCAGAAAGTCACAGGATCGATAACGTCGTTTCCAGAGTTCCAAGCAATCCTGGTAGATGGTGAGAGTTTCTCAATATTTGGTTTGAATTTCGATTACTTTTACCGATATTCAGTGTACTAGCCTAACGCCTCTAATCCTTTCAACTGTAGCTAGTGTTTTTAACTAATTCCTCTATCGTATTGCTTTAGGAATCCCAAGAATATGAATCGTTAATAATGACGTACGTTCACGGGTTTATAAGGCACACAAATTTGGCATAATTACATTTTTACAATTCTTTCGTATAATATGTAAGAGTAGGAATAACTACTGTGTTTTAAGCACCCATGTTTACCCAGTTCAAAGCCATTAATTTGCAAAGGATAATTCATGGTGTCCTGACTAGGAGCTGGGATACGTACAGAAGCATGTTTTCTTTTTCTCAATTAACGGATGAGTAGCAGTTGTGTGGTGATAAGAGAAATATTAATGCTGAAATCATACTTGTGGAACATAGAACCTGATTTAGGCTAAACATTTTCCATACATTGTGAGGTCCTAAAAATGTGGCCACAAGCTACAGTTAGACAAATCAGAATAATAACTAGGAAAAGCATGAATATTTGCTTGGCTGTCTTTCAAACATAGTAGCGCACCATGAGTTAACATAAAAAGCGAACTTTTTTACTGTTTGGCTATGTCTTTCAATAAATCAAGTTATTAGGCTTATTGACTGCTTACAGCAGTTGGCTGCAAGGAAACTATAATCAGTGATAAGTGAATAACCTTTCAGGTCAATGACAATATTGCACTTAAAGCTGCCTTGTAGTTTAGAGTCACATTTTTTACTGTCATTATTACCACCTCTTGTAATTCCCCCTGTACCATTTCTGCATATACTCCCACATTCTTAGCAATATGGTCACTAGTCTTAAACTAAACATTATAAACAAGGTCTGATACGGTTTGCTCGTTCATCTAACGTCGACAGCCCGAAGTTTGAGCAAAATGTACAGGTTTTCTATTACGAAATCATTTGGGGGTGTGAGTATAATGAGATTATTTGCGTGTGTCAATAAATCTGAAAACGTGCAGCAGTGAAACGGAAACAACGAAATGTTTATTCAGCACATCTGAATAAGAAGTCTGATATGCAGTTGCATAGATAGGTAACGTTTTCCACTTTTTGGACTTTTGGGTTGCTATTACATGCCGAATCGGCACCGGTAATTTGGTTTCAGCTTAGCATATTTCTTACACATTTTACCTTTGTTGCATTGGTTCTGTATTATCGTGTTTTTTAAGTGGAGAAAGTGTTCTTTCATTTGTATAAAATAACAACTGCTTGCCGCACATCGCCCAGGGTTAATACGATGCAATATCTTCAGTTTACAACCAGAAACTAATACATCTATCAGAATTTTTGCGAAATGTGACCACCGACTCATATGTCTTTGGCATATTGCTTATTTAAATTGAATTATTGCAATGTCTAGTCCAGATTGGCTTTATTCACCCAACTGGTGACATTGCAACTGGAAATGTAATGTGGCGTGGCATTTATCAAATTTACAAAGAGTGAGAAAATACAACTGTCGTTTAAGTTAACATTCACGTATCGTATTTGAAACCTTCTTAGAACCCCTAGAAAGAAGAAATAACAACCATAAATTTTTAAGAGTTTGTGGGACTGGGGAAAGGTTTTGATAAATTGCGTGGTGGACAATGGATCAATTAAAATCCATGGCGAACATTTGTAACGTACAGCAAAATGCTTTGTTTTACCTAAGTTAATCAGAGACTCTTTGGATCACTGTAACGCACTAACAAAGTACAGTGTTTTTGTAAGAGATCAGAAAAATGATTAATGATCAGTACAGCTCATCACCATCATCATCATTACACGTTAGCTGGAGGTGGAAAACACCTCAGCTATTGTGCCGCAATACAACAGGCAAGAAAAGAAGAGAACAAAACAAAACAACAGCAAAAAACAGTGGCACGCCCGCTGAGTCCCCAGTAACGGATGGACATCGTTCCGGAGAGCTAACAGCTGGCTGCCGTAAAAGAAAGTCAAATTATGCCAAACGATTGAGATCGTGATTGGAGGGGGATGCTAAACAGGAGGGGGGTGGAAAAAGGAACTCACAACACAAACGCCATTGGGGCCGGCACCTAGCCATATCAGCAAGTGTGTCCAACCAAACGTGTTCACCGTCCTTAGGACCCAAACCAGGCAGTCGGGATGCACCAACCGACGCCAACTTCGAAGTGAGGGTTTTCATTTCTCTCGACCAAGTCATCACTTGGCCTCCCCTCCTCCTCTTCCAACCGCACCCACAACGCGCAAACAAAGCACGTCGTGGGAGTCGGTGTGCTGGCATGCGCAACACGTGGCCCAGCCATCGGAGCCTGGTGCGTTATATAATCGTGATGAGCGGTTCACTCGCTCTTCCTGTACCAAATACGCGACGCCGAACACGCTCATTGCTCACGCGGTGTTCCCACCAGACATGAGCTAAGCTGCGAAGGAAGCGATGATCGAATGTGACGAGTCTGTTCATGTCTGTCGACCTGATGGGCCAGGTTTCACAGCCATATAGGAGAGTTGAACGGACGGCTGCGTTGTAAACTCTGCCCTTGAGGGCGAGAGTAATGTCGCGTCTGCGCCACAGGTGGCGGAGATTGGCAAAAGCACCTCGAGCTTTTGCTATACGGTTCGTAACCTCATCTTCAATCCCACGGGTGCTAATATAGCTGCCCAGGTACTTAAATTCCTGAACGACTTCTAGCAGATCACCACCAAGCGTTAGCGCAGGATTGGGTCCCTGCCAATCTCGGAGAAGTACTTTGCATTTCGATGAAGCAAAGCATAGCCCAAAACGATTGACAGCCAGTGCTAATCGGTTCAGTGCTGTTTGGCATGTTTGGGAGCTGTCACAGATTAGGGCAATATCGTCTGCATACTCCAAGTCAAGAAGTCGCTCACCAGGGAGTAGCTCCACACCTTCTAGGTCGTGTCCAGCGAACGCTGTTTCCATGACTTCATCAATAGCGAAGTTGAAGAGGAAAGGTGACAGCTGGCATCCTTGTCTCACACCGCTGGTGATACTGAAGGGTGGCGAGAGTTTGCCATAAACGCTCACCCTGCCCGTACTATGTGCGTACAGCGCTTTGATAATGTTTGCATATTTATCAGGCACACCTTTCCTCAACAGACAGTCCCAAAGGGCACATCGATCGACTGAGTCGAAGGCACCTTTTATGTCAAGAAACAAGACAACGGTGGGTCGCCAATAAACATGGCGGTGCTCCAACACTTGACGCAATGTGAAGATGTGGTCGATGCAGCCCCGACCTCGACGAAATCCGGCTTGCTCTTCACGAATCTGGCTTTCACGAGTGCCAGTCAGTCTGTGGAGAATGAGAGAGGCAAGCAATTTAGCGGCAATCGAAGTCAGACTGATCCCTTTATGATTGCCACATTCTAAACGGGAGCCTCCCTTGAAAATTGGGACAATGACGGAGCGGTTCCAGTCTGTCGGGACTGTCTCCTGCTCCCAAAGTTTTACTAGCAACTCGTGTAGATCATCTACTAGAGCAGGTCCACCGAATTTGAAGAGGGCTGGAGGAATTGTATCTGCTCCTGCGGCCTTATGCAATTTCAACAGCTTGATCTCACACTCGACTTCTGCGAGTGAGGGCGGATCCAAGGAGACGGCCCAAGGAGAAGTGTGCTCAATGCCCGAAGAAGAAAACGATAACTCAGGTTGGTTAAATTGCATAGCAAAGTGTTCAGCCCAACGCTCCAAGCGTTTTGACAGGCTGTGGATCATCTGTTCACTCTCGTCGCGTATGGTCTCGCTAACACCAGGTCTTCTGCTGCCTGTTGCCCGTATCAGACGGTATAACTCACGATGATTACCAATGGCAGCGGCCGTTTCCATCTCAAAGGCACGATGAGACCACCAGGTTTTGCGGTCCTTCCTTAGGCTAGCACGTAGTTTCACCCTGAGATTTTTGCGAGCTTCATTGTATTCGCTTCCAGCCGGAATACGTCGGCGAGCATCCATAAGTTCCAGAGACTGTGTAGAGACCTAATGTCCGGTTTTGCAATTTGTTTTGCCACATGAAGACATGCCTGCTAACAGCAACGCTTGACGAGTATGCGACCAGTGATCTTCAACGGTGTTTAGTGGGCGCTTACTCAGCCCAGATGTCAGCGCATCTTGGTACACATTCAGAACATCTGGCTTTGCAAGCTGGCTAGTGTCAATCCGTTCACATCGACGTTGCGGACGTCCACCGAAACGCATCAGGAGGTCGGCACAGACAAGTGCGTGGTCAGAGTCCACGCTCGTGCTCCAAATCGAGCGACAGTTTTGGACACAGCCTCTCCAGCGGTAACTGATCGCGATATGATCGATTTGCGTCCATGACTGGCCGGAGGCTGGTGGCCGCCAAGTCACACTTCTGCGGGTGCTGTGTCGAAAGTTAGTGCTCGCGAGAAACAGGCGAGCATCTTCACACAGCTGGAGCAATCGCTCATCATTATCATGACGGGAGTCTACACCATGTTGGCCGCCCAGATGAAGCTCATCAGAGGACAACTTTCCGACTTGGGCGTTTAGATCACCAGCCAACACCACAGTATCCGTACTCCTACTGTAATGAAGGAGCTCGTGAAGTTGCTGATAGAAATCATCTTTTACGGAATCGGTGCTACAGTTTGTAGGGGCGTAGGCCGCAATGACAAACAGGCACCGTTTGTCCCCACGCGACTTCGAAGCACGGAACGAACCAGCTAATCTAACGGCGCACATTCTACTGTTTACTGGGATCCAATCAAGCAGGGCAGCTTCAGCCCGGGGACTCAAAACAATGCCGACGCCAGCTTGACCGGCATTTGAAGCTGCATCATCGCCAGATAGGCGCAATGAGAATGTGCCGCCAGTGTCGCATGTGGGGGATCTCAGGGTAAGCACGGAGCTCGTACCTTGCAGGCGGGTTTCTGATAAACAGCAAATATCGATCGATAGGGTCTCTAGTGTGCGGGCAAGTGCTGCCTGTTGGCCAATC